GATGGATGGATGAATGAATGGATGGATAGATGGATGAACAGATGGATAGATGGATGAACAGATGGATAGATGGATGAACAGATGAGTGGATGGACAGATGGATGGATGAATGGATGGATGGATAGATGGATGAACAGATGGATAGATGGATGAACAGATGAATGGATGGACAGATGGATGGATGGATGGATGAACAGATGAATGGATAGACAGATGGATGGATAGATGGATGGATAGATGGATGAACAGATGGATGGATGAACAGATGAATGAATGGACAGATGGATGGATGAACAGATGGATGAAAAGATGGATGAACGGATGGATGATATTCATCAGTTCATCTGGTTTGTTTTTGGACATTACCCCGTAAATCTTAAAGGCTCTTCTGAAAGGCAGCGGCAGATTTCGACACCTGGGAAACGAGTCAAACACCTGAGGAAAAACAAAGATTTCATTTGTTAGAATTCATCATGACGTCATCTTTAAATCAAGTTGAGGGCTTTCCTTTAATGTTTTTAACTCTGACTTGATACAGAATTATTAAAATCCTACCATTAACCAGACCCAGTCCTGAAACTCGACTCATTTTAGCTGATCATGATTGGTCTGGCTCACCAGGGCCCATGGTCCGTTGGTCATCTTGGAGAGCTCGCTGAAGCTCCAAACGATGGTCTTGATCTGCTCGTCATCGTACTCGTAGCGCCTCCCGAACAGAACCTGGCAGATGATGTTTGAGGCCGTGTTATGAAACATCACCTGAGGACTCAGGGTGCTCCCTGAACAAAAGACAAAATAATCTCAAATTAATCGACTTTGGAGCTTTGAAGTCCGACAGCCAGACTGGAATCTGAGACAGTGATAACAGATAAGGTACATTTTTGACACGCTTAAAGTTTGTTGCCAACTTTTCAACATCTATCAGACGAGTGGGCATCCTGGAATGTCAGATAAGAATAATCTACTTCCTGTGATGTCTGAAAATTAAAGACTCTGAAGCTCTGCAGGACTGAGTCTGCTTACTGCAAGTGTCTTAAAATATAAGATTGTCAGAAAGAAATCACTGTGCACCCTTAGAGAGGTAAAGGTTACACACCGACGCTGTTTTCCAGAGTTTTTAGGGTGTACTGAATCTCGTCATGGATTCTGTCTTCCATCGACTTCTTCCCCAGGCCGAAGTTCCTCAGCGTCATCAGAGCAAAGCGCCGATGTTCCTTCCAGCTCGGACCGTAATCGGCCAAAACCACTCCTGTGGGCACGGCACCACAAAAATAAAAATAAAATAAATAAACAAGATTTATATTAATACAGCTGTTCAGGTCCTGAAATAAACATGTCACTGCAAAATGTTTACTTAGTGAACCAAAACTGAACAAAAATAAGTCAACTTTCGGTTGAATTCTCACCGAGGCCAGCAAACCCTTACATTATTGCTTTTTGATGTGTACGGTTTGCAAAACCATTGTGCTTTATTTGCGGTTGGCTAGAGCTAAAACCAAAAACTTGATTAAACAAACAAACTGATGTGGCAGAAATAACTCAAGGAGAATATGAATGGAAGCAGAACACAACATTTAACAGAAGACTATAAGACTGCTGGATATGGGCACCAGTGACCCACGCAACCCTGAAAAGGAAGAAGTGTACAGAAAATGGATGGATGGATGGAATATAAGGCTGATGAGTAGAGTGGCTGCAGCTGTGTCTGATTAAACAGAGAACAGGTGTAAAAGGGCGTGGCAGGCTGAACATGGAAAAGTGTGGACTGAGAAAACGCTGATGCCACAGAGGAGACAGGTTGAACCTTAAACAGAGAAATAAACACGTCTTTTTGTCACCAGTGTGTTGTTTTACCAGAATGTCAACCAGAATCAAAGCGTTTGAAGTTCGGCTGCCATCGAGCCCCCAGAAGCTCAGAAAGACCAAATACTCATTTTCTTAAACAAACTGAAAGTTTGTTCAACAACATGTGGAGACGAGAATATGTGGTTTGTTTCACCTCATTCATTCATTTGTTTACATTTCACCACTTCAAAACAAAGGTTCTCCTTGGAGGTCTAGAAGAGGAACAGGTCCATTCAAGTCACTACTTTAAAACTCTTCTAAAGAACTGAACTCATCCTGAACTGAAGTCTTTTCGTGTATTTAATCCTTGCTTTGTGTTTCGTGCAGAATAAACATTACATAACAGAACAACTTGATTTTCCTACAGTCAGGATGAGATCTGTGAGAGTGAGATGAGCTAACCCTAACCTAACCTAACTAACCTAACCTAACCGCCAGTATGAGCTTTGGAACTCAGAACTCCTACCCTTCCTTTGGGTGACTTCATTAACAAGCAGGTCCTGAGGTCGTCCAGCGAAGTCCGTGGCCTTGACCACCATGGCCTCCTTCATGGCCTTCAGCCCGTTGATGACCACAGCTGGTTTGGGACCGATGAACAGACTGTAGACGTTTCCATAAGACTGTCTCAGCTTAAAGGAAACAAGAGAAACAGCAAACCTGATTATTTTTGACCAATAAATACAGATGTTCCAAAGACAAAAACAGGGAAACACCAAAACGAGTTGTTTTATGTCCACAGGAGACACAGGTACCTACCTGACCCTAAAACTAACCTAAACTCAATTCACACCTTGGTCCTAAACGCAACCCCCAACCCACCAATGGCATTTAAACCAAATGGGGACTCCACTTTTGTCCCCAAATGTAGGATTTTTGTCTTAAAATTGCCCCCAAATATCACCAAAACACACACACACACACACACACACACACACACACACACACACACACACACACGCACGCACACTCCTGCACGCACACTCTGTGTGGAGTAGGTACTTATTCCTGAAACCATTCTCTTTTTGCGCCAC